CCTCAATGCTCTCATTTGCATTATAGGTACAAAAATGATCCTGAGATTCTGGCGATGACTAACCTGATCGCAGCCTATCAGAGGAATGAGATTTTGGAGTTTGAGAAAATTCTTAAGGTACTCCATCGCTTAAACATTTGGTATCACTCTCTTCCAGAAAACTTGTCATTTCAGTTAATTCTGAATTTTGCGGTATAATTTATGTTGCAGAGTAATAGAAGGACTATTATGGACGATCCATTTATTCGAAATTACATTGAAGATCTTCTGAAGAATGTGCGAACACAAGTGTTGCTCAAGCTTATCAAGCCTTACACGAGAATCCGGATCCCCTTCATATCCAAGGTGAAGCAGTAGTCTCATTAGTAGCGGGACCTTCTTCTGTTTCCCTCTCCCTCCATTTGTTCTTTTTTCATATTATTGTTTATTTTAAATCTCCTGTTTCTACTTTGAACAACAAATGGCAAAGTTTGTGGTTTTCCACGATGGTAAAATTTCTTATTTTTCTTAATTTCATGGGAGAGCATACCCACAGTACACCAAAAGCAAAAATGGAGCTAATGTAAATCTGGGCCCGACCATTTTATTTGAGTATATGTATATCGGAGGATCAATTATTAAATTATTGTTTAATTTATTTTAATGATATTTGTGACACTCAGGAGCTTAATGTGCCAGAGAAGGATGTTGAGGAGTTGTTGGTGTCCCTTATATTGGATAATAGGATAGATGGACACATTGATCAAGTTAATCGGCTTTTGGAACGTGGAGACAGGTTGGACTTTACTATTCACCGATCTTTTCCTATTTTAAGAAAGTCCTCATTATGTCTTTTTATTTGTTTCTATTTAGCATGCATATATAAGTCGGGACAATTTGCATGCAGGTCAAAGGGAATGAAAAAGTACACGGCTGTAGACAAATGGAACACACAGCTCAAATCCCTGTACCAAACTGTGGGAAACCGAGTCTGTTAAGACCCTATTGTTCGTCTAGATATAGAATTTACGACCGTCTGAACAACATGAACATGTTTTGGCAGATACTGATGAGTTTTTTATGAGATACGACCAAAAAATTCAAGCCCGGTCATTTTGAGTTTTTTGATTGTCGCTGGGTGCAAAGTTTCTATTGTAAGAAGTGTCTTTTCTGTGTATCATTTATGAATCGTTAGGAAATTTGGGGAAAGCTTGTTGATTATTTTGAAATTGTTTTTTTGGTGCTTATGCTCATGGTTGGCAACTGGAAAACATAACTGACAGTTGTTGCCATATTTGAAGTTATTTAGAGAGAAGATGACCTTTTTAGATTGAAATTTTCAAATGATTTCATATTCTTGATGCAGGAGTGTTATTCGTGTAATGCTTGAGCTTTATAATTGATTGCAGTAGCAAGTTTTAAGTGGAAAATGGAACACATGCTCTAGTTCTTTATCAATTATTTAGCATGAGAAGCCCATTTAGTCTAATCATTTTAGAAATCCTTGTTTCTTAGATCTGGTAATTTTTTTTTTTTGGTTAGATCTGTTCTCTCTTATTTTTCCGTTTGTTGGGTTTAGCTGTGTTTTTCGATGTCTTCTACCATGGAAGGTTGGTACAAGATGAAGAAAGATTTATGTGTTTGATTGGAAAACAAACTTAGCTTGAGATTTGGTTGGTAGCCAGTGTTGTGGAGTTTTAGTTGCAGTATATTTTAACCAATGCTCTTTATCTTCTTTGTCCCTTTGGTCGGGGGATTGGTACACCGGGCTTTCTTGATAGTCTCGTGATGTTTTGTGGTAGGGTACTACGTGCAAAATTGCCAGTGTGCTGTGTACTTGGTAAGAGGAGTTTGTTTAGTATTGAAATCGGGTTTATATTGTTATCTCCTTTCTTTTGTAATTTTTATATTCAGGTGTTTTTCATTATTATTATTATTATTATTATTATTATTATTATTATTATTATTATTATTATTATTTGACGATTGAACACAACTAGAAAAGCCAAACAACTATCTAACCGAAACTAGTGGGAGGACCTCGGATTCGGAGCCTAGAAAAACTACACAATCCGAGCCTAGAAAAACTACACAAACTCACTCACAAGACAACACAAACTCACCCACAAGACGCATCCTAACAAAACAACCAGGGCCAACCCTGTCTCAGGGCGACCTGGGCAACAGCCCAGGGCCCAATGCTATTAGGGGCACCAGACCGCCCACTATATGCCTTTTATCTCATTTTATTTATTTATTTATTTATTTATTTATTTTTTTAAAAGAAAGAAAATGAAGTATGACTCGCCCGAGAGGGAATCAACATTTATGGCAGAAAATCTCCCTCCAAGATTAAAAGTAATTAAGATGGTCTTACTTTTTCTATTCTCAATAACATTTTTCCCACACTCTGTATCTCTCTCTCTCTCTCTATCTCTCTCTCTCTCTCACTCTCTATCTCTCTACTTAATTATATGTTATATATTATTATGTTATTTTAAGTACCCTATTTATCTTACTTTTGAAAAAAAAAATTATATAATTTTCTTTTAAAAAGTTATATTATTTTTTATAGCAGTTAAAATTAATTTATAGTTTAGATTTGCTTCACTACTTAAAAAATGTTGAACTTTTTACTTGATTATATGTTATATATTATTATATTATTTTAAATGCCCTATTTATTTTATTTACTTTTAAGAAAACTATTTATATAATTTACTTTTAAAAAGTTAAATTATTTTTTTGATAGCATTATAATTAATTTATTGTTTAGATTTGTTTCACTAGTTCAAAATATTTTCAACGAAGGTTAAATTTTATTTAATGTATATTTAAACAGATTTAGTAAAAGTTTGATGAAAACAATTATTATCTTTGAGAATGTGATATCATGACATTATCTTTTATTAGTGTAATGGTTTTTTTTTTTTTTTTTTTTAATTGGATCTTATTGTAGTTCCTAGCTTTTTTATGAGGTCGCATTTCGTTTTTTTTGGGTATATAATTCTATTATTGAATTTTTCCAAATAAAGAAATGGGTTATGAATTCTATACACGAGCATTATATTCGTGTTTGGCCCAGGGCCTTATAATGTTCAGGACTGGCTCTGAAAACAACACTCAAAACGGGACAACAACTTCTACTAAAGAAGAATAAGCCCCTAACAAGAGTTGAAGAGCTGTTTTTCATTATCATGGGTTCAATCTTACGAGTTTTCCGTTTGTTTTCCAGACTATTCGGGTCACTTGACCATCCTCAAGCAGAACCCTTGTAATCAATCATCTTCCTTTTCTCAAAGGTAATCCAAAACTTGGTATCGGTTAGTTTTGATAAGACTCACCTCTTTCTTATCCCATCCTCCTAGCTAAGCATGCAAACACGGACAAAATACAATTGCTTATATAAATAGACATGTATGAGTACAACCACAAACTAACTTCTCTTCTAGTAACCGAGAAGAAGAAAAAAAAAAAAAAAAAAAAAAA